GCTGGAGGCAAAGCGGGGTTTGGGGTGCAGGCTGACAGCTTGTGACCCCCCCATATAATAACCTCGTGACCCCCTGAAGGCCCCCGACCCCCAGTTTGAGAACCCCTGTGCTATCTAACGGAAAAAGGACATCTGACCCAATGAAGGAATGCTCACCTCTGAAGTAATCCGGATTTACTTATGTGTTAAATGGATGGTGTTAATGGACCAAGAATCATTGGTCTGCATTTTTGGGTTTGAAAACAGGGATGAAATAAAAAATTTTGTTTTTAAAAAATTGTCTTTCTAGCGCCCAGGTCTGAAAATGTGACTCGGCTGTAACTGATGCCGTGGCGTCTGCCTGAATTTGCAGAGAGCCTGACACAATAGCACTAAGAGCTGTCACTTGTTCCATTGCTCTGCTTGCCAAAGCAGTTGCTCCCAAGGAAGGGACGGGTGGGAAACAAGACATCCAAGACAACCCCCTCAGCCCAGATTTTAAAGTCCCCTCCCCACCTGCCCAAAAGGGCATCCTCTCCCCCCCCCTCTCTCCCCATGCCCAGAAGCCACCTCAGCCAGAGATGGGGCTGGCTGCACAGGACCGTCTGGGCGGAGCGTGTGCACGAGCCACTCCTGCCACGTGGCGGCGCGCGCGGGCCTCGAGCCCAGCCGCCGGGAGGGGGCGCGACAGGCGGGCGCGTGCCGACGCCTGGGAGAGGCCCGGAGCGCGCGCGCGCGCGCCGCGGTAGTTTGGGCGCGCGGGGCTGCCGTAGGAGCATGGCGTTGGGCTCGGAGGCGCTGCGGGAGCGGCCGGTGCAGCTGGCGCTGGCGCTGGCCTTCGCCTCGGGCGTGCTGGTGGGCTGGCAGGCCCACCGCGTGCGCAGGCGCTTCCTGGCCTGGAGGAAGCGGCGGCTGCAGGGTCTGCTGGAGGCCACGCAGAAGAAGCTGGACGTGGCCTGAGCGGCGCGCGGCGGGGCCGTGACCTTGGGCGGCGCGGCTCTGGCTGGGGGCGGGGCCCTGGGGCGGCCCGGACTGTCCCCCACGGGCCTCACCCGTGTCACAGCCCGAGCCTGGGCCAGGATTTACCGCCAGCAGCTAAGTCGTGTGTAAAGCCCTGCCTCAGGTGTGTGTTAACACGGTAGGAATACAGCTTTCTCCAGTGTAGACGCGGCCAGCCTCTGGCGGGTGGTGCCACACCCCCCGACTCAGGGTAAAGCAGTGGATCTCAAACTTTTGTACTGGTGACCCCTTTCAGATAGCAAGCCTCTGAGTGTGACCCCCCCCCCCTATAAATTAAAAACACTTTTATATATATTTAACACCATTATAAATGCTGGAGGCAAAGCGGGGTTTTAGGATGGAGGCTGACAGCTCGCGACCCCCCACTGTAGTAACCTCGTGACCCCCTGAGGGGTCCTGACCCCCAATTTGAGAACCCCTGGTGTAAAGCAAAGTGAAGCGCTTGTGTAAGTGTGCGCAGATTGGGGCCTGAGGGTACGTCTGAATGGCAAAAAACAATACCCACAGCAGCGAGTCTCGGCATTGGGATCAACTCACTAGGGCTTGCATCCAGCTAAAAATAACAGTGTAGACATTCCTGCTCCAGTTTGGAGGCTCAACCCCTTCTGGGTTTCCGAGCCCAGGCTCCAACCTGAGCTCTGAGCTGAATGCCTACACTGTTATTTGTAGCCCTGTAGCATGATCCCAAGTCAAGTGCTCCGGGCTCTGAGGCTAGGTCTACACTACGGGGCGGGGGGGGGTCGACCTAAGATACGCAACTTCAGCTACGTGAATAGCGTAGCTGAAGTTGCATATTTTAGGTCGACTTACCTGGCTGTGAGGACGGTGGTGAGTCGACCGCTGCTGTGCCGCCATCGACTCCGCTTCCGCCTCTTGCCGTGGTGGATTTCCGGAGTCGACCGCAGAGCCATCGGGGATCGATTTTATCGTGTCTTCACTAGACGCAATAAGTCGATCCCCAATAGATCGATCACTACCCGCCAGATTGGCGGGTAGCAAAGACCTGCCCTTAGACTTGCTGTTACATGGTTTTCTTTGCAGTGTAGAATGTAACCTGAATTTCTGTTGGTCCCTCAATGTCAAAGCCCCCTCCTTCGGGAGCCAGTTTCCTTGAGACAGTCATCTTGTTCTCATTCCCTAATACTAGGGAATAATTTACTATCTATAAACACTGACAATTTGCCATATAAAGATTTTGTTTTTAAATGTCTAGGATTTTTTCTTGAGTAAGGGGCTTATCACAATTATTAGCCACTCCGAGACCTAGCAAACTTGTATGGGTATCGGGGTGAAGGCATTGCTTTTAGCTGCCTCTTTCTGGTAACAGGCTTACAACAGTGTGGCAAAATACAGTAGAACCTCAGCGTTACAAATACCTCGGGAATAAAGGTTGTAACTCTGAAATGTTCATAACTCTGAACAAAACATTATGGTTGTTCTTTCAAAAGTGTACAACTGAACATTCACTTCATACAGCTTTGAAACTACTATGCAGAAGAAAAATGCTGCTTTTAACCATCTTAATTTAAATGAAACAAGCACAGAAAGTTTCCTAACCTTGTCAAATCTTTTTTAATAACTTTCCCTTTTTTAAATAATGTATGTTTAACACAGTACTGTACTGCATTTGCTTTTTTTGTGTGTCTCTGCTGTTGCCTGATTCCGTATTTCTGGTTCCAAATGAGGTGTGTGGTTGACCCGTTAGTTTGTAACTCTGAAGTTCTACTGTACATAGTCTTCGGTGGCTAAGCCAGGCTCTTATTTATTTATTTTATTTTATTTCTGACACATGAATTTTGGTCCATTGATTTCTGGTTCCACACTGTTTTCGTTTACCAGGAATGATCTTAACACAGTCCTTGAATTATATTCGTAAGCTTTGTTTGTATTAATTCAGTTGTTGTCTCCTTTTTGCATCTTTTCCCATCAATATTTATGGTTCAAGGTTATAGTGAAAGTTCGTAAGATCTCACAGATTTCTCACAGTTGAGCTAACCATAAAGGTAGGCCCAGTTATCACAAGAGCTGAGACTTATCTGTCACATACAGTTCCTTATGCAAGCCCTATTTACAATATGGAAGTGGAAGGGAGAAATGAGAGGAAGAACAACGTTTTGGCCTACGTCGGGAATGGCACGTTCCTGCTACTTCACAACAGTCTAACAGTTGCAGGGATGTATTTCTTGGGGTGACTGGAGACACCTTTTGTTATGTACAGTCAATTAAAAATCCAGTTTCTTATTTAAGCCATAAGTACACTATGGAAGTGGAGTGAGGTCATGATGTATCAGAGGATACTGCACAGGAACTAAGCATCAGGTTGATGAGTGGCATGTCCCAGCTATTTCAGAACAGTCTATTGGCAGCAGGGATGAATCATGTGGGGTGATTTGAGACTAATTTTGTCACGTACAGCCAGTCAAAACCCAGTGCCTTAATTATTTAATTCAGGGGTTCTCAAACTGGGGGTCAGGACCCCTTTGGGGGCTGCGAGGTTATTACATGGAGAGTCGCGATCTGTCAAGCTCCACCCCAAACCCCACTTTGCCTCCAGCATTTATAATGGTGCTAAATATATAAAAACGTGTTTTTAATTTATAAGGGGGGGTCGCATTCAGAGGCTTGCTATGGGAAAGGGGTCACCAGTGCAAAAGCTTGAGAACCACTGATTTAATTAATAAATAATGAATTAATTAGGAATTTTTTTATCACACCCAATCATGCTAATTTGATGACATTTCTAAAAATGTAATTTTACATTGATATATTTTCAAAGTAATGTTGACCTTTGAATAAGGAACCGGTGCCAAGTAAAAGGAACCGGGAATAAAGAAAAAACTTCAGCCTCCTCGGGGGAAGAAGGATTGTGTCCCTCCAACCCTACACAGCTCCCATGTATAAAACTTGTTTTACTTGATCTTTGCATACGGCATTGTGGGTTTTTGTTTTGTATTACTGAATAGAGAGAGACTATTGTATCTCACTTCAGATAGTCTAGTTCAGGCTAGTTTTCTATTGGGAGCCTGATTTAAAAAATAGATAAATCTACCTCTCCCGCTCCCAAAAAAACCTTAAAACAGTATTTGAAACGTTTTACATGTGTGGAACTCTGATAGGGGATCCGCTTTGGGGGGGGGGGGGGGAGGAGAGGCAGAGAGGGTGGAAAGGGGAGAGTTGGTGTTTGGACAAAGATGTTCCTGAGATTGGACCATTTGAAAAATCAGAGCTGCTTCTCTCAGCAAGGGTTTGAAATGCAACAGAGCTCCCATTTTCAAGTTACCATGTGGCCTGACGTGGGAATGCACTGCTGGCACTCATGTATATCTCAGTCTTGTCTGTCTGACTCTCCTCTGCAAAATGTAGTGAAATTATCTCAGTCAGATATTAAATGTAAATAGATCATATATTTGACTGTTACAACATAGTTTATTACAGCACACTCTAAATTCCTGACAATCAAGATTGCTTTATTGTAGTCTCTAAATCTAAATGACAATCTGGAAATACTCAGTTAAAGTGCTAACAGCATTGAGACTTACTATTTAACTACCATATACTAAACTTGATTTTCACAAACTTGTCTCTTAATAACTGAAATATTGTAATGGTGCTGTAAATAGATTGATTTATCTTTGCTCTCGCATAAATGTTGGTTTTTGGTTGTGAGCATACACGGAGGAGATGTAGCTGTTAGGGACTATGGGCGTGTATTGGTAAATATCTGGAAACATTTTTGTTCGCACCAAAAATGTCCAATAATGGAATTTTTTGTTAATGAAATTTTGAGGGAACAGCAATGATTTTGGGTACATTTTTAATTAAGTTGTTCTACCTTAATATTTTTGACATAATATATTGTTTCTGTCACTTTCCCTTTGGTTACTCAATGTTCTGTCTGCCCCCTTTTAATATCTCTCTTACGTCTGATTTTCTTCTTTTATTTTTGATAGATTATAATCTGACTGAACATTGTTTTGATCACCTTTGCTATTTAAATTAAAAAAAAACCCAAACAAATGTGAAATTATGTGCAATTTGTAATTTTTCACTTTCTTTTAACAGCCTTATACAGATGAAAGCTGACAACTGAATGAAAATAAATGGACTCCTGCTGCATTTGTGTCTAAACACAGTTTAAAAGATGGACTTTAAAAACAAATGTTTTGATAAGCAACCATATTCTAAAAAAGAAGGCATCTGTGGTATCCTACAATCTCATTTGCCCAAACTGACATCAGCAAAGCTTATCTTCACATGTATCAGAATAACCGATCCACCAAAATGTTATGGGATGAGCTTAATTAATTCATATGTATTATGACTGTGCAAACCTGTCACATTATGTTTTTAAGGGATGCTTGTGTCTGTTTTGCTTTGTGACTCTTAAGGCTCGCCCTGAGCTACATTTGACCCTTACATTTTAATAAATTAAACTAAAAATGATATAACTTACGTTACTTACTAGTAATTTGTAATAAAGTATCTCTTAAGTGGGGAGTGAAAACATGTAAAGATTCTGATGTTAAACATTTTAGAACTTTGAAAGTATACAACCAAAGGGTTGGTCAAAAAGATTAAGGCAAAAGCATCCTAGTGTACACTGATAAGATAAATTCGTATATTAAATCAGTAATGCTGGGGTTCTTCTCTGAAATTCAGCAATGTTCTATGTCTAGATCTCTTACCAACTCCATAACTAAGAATACATCAGCCCTATATACTTACTGTGCCACATCATCACTTCCAGCAAAGATGCTGGACATCATGAATTAAAATCCTTGGGACTTCCTTTTTGATTAATCTTGCTGGGCCTCATGCTACATCTATGTCAGCCATCCCTATCTCTCTGTTACTTCCATGCATATGTGCACAGCTTTTCCCTCAAAAAAAAAATAAATCTCCTAATCAACACATTTTTAAAGTGTTTCTGTCTTGTTCTCCTTTTATGTTTATAAGCAGATGCCAACCCCACATTGTGCCAAAATAGTTAAAGGCTATGTAGGTTCAGAATTCATTCCCTGCCCTTAGCTTTAACTTTATTAATAAGCTAATGGAAAAAGAGAAAAAAGCGGAGACAGATTCTGCCCATGCCTTCTCCCCAAGCTTGGCTGTTCTTATGATTTTTCTCTTAGGACTGGCGAGGCTTAGACCATTGATTCCCAGACTGTTTACGAAGGTGACCCACCAACTGCATTTTGTCATCTTGTTTGCAACCCACCCTTACATATATGCACCCTCTGCCCTTGCGCTGCAGTCTGAATCCCGGCCCAGTGCAGAGGGGAAGCCGGGACAAGGGGGCTTGGAGAGCAAGCCCACCATGCACTCACCCCACTGAGTCGGCTCTTGTTCCGCGGCACTAGGCTTAGCTCTAGTCTCTGCTCCAGGTGTTACGACCTGGTACACAGTGTGTCAGCACCACTCAGGTTTGGAGGGCAGCCAGTGGCTCTGCGACCCCATGTGTCTGGTTGCAATCCCCAGACTGGGGAGCCAGGCCCAACCTCGCAGGACAGAAGCCACCACGGTGGGGTGAGTGTGGGACAGCCTCACTCTCCAGTCCCCTCCTCTCTGCACCTGGCTGGTAAAGTGTATGTTTGCCTAGTTCAAGGCCCAGTGATCCATATAGAATCTTCATGAGACCCACCAGCTGGGAAACACTGGCTTAGATTCCTCTGATCAGGGGGCCACTCTCACTTCACTTATACCCAGAATTAGTTAATGAGGTGCACCATCCGTCAGAGCTCCAATGCCTTCTAACATAGGGGGTCAGTGAACCCAGCTGCTGTGTAACAATGCCATTCAGAATCTTGAAATGTTGACTTATCCAAGTTGGAGATCTTGTGTCTTTTATAGCTGAGATGTAGCTTGGTTACAGAAGTTTTCTGTGTAATGCTGTATCAGGCTGATTTAATGGTGATTTGGCATATACTTGCGGGCATCCTGTGCAAAATGGAGCTGAGGTCAGGTATTTTAATGTCATTCATTGGAAGACATGGTTCATGTGCTAGCTCAAACTTTGCACTTACTGACATGTTAAAATATAATTGTACTTTAATTTATTAAAGCACCCAGGATTTTTTTATTCATTTTTTTTGCAATGAATTATTTATGTTTTTAATGTGTACCTAGTATTTGTTTCTGGAAAAGGTAAAAAGGAAGAAGAAAAGATAGATGGTAGATTTCTGGATAGTGGCTTGAATAATTCTTTGGATATATCAGCACAGTTTTTTCTAAATCTGGTGTTGCATATATCAGCGTAATTAATCATTTTAATACGATTACAAAGGAGTTTTTTCTCAAGCCTTGTCAATAACCCTAAAAGTGTTTTTTAAAAAATCATTAAAATAAAAACAGTAAACCCTCATGTGGAAAGGACACATGATCATTTGATCTCAAGTACATGTTGTAACTTGACAACACTATTAATTCTATGTACATCTCTGCTGCATTTCCTTATCTAATACTTTGGAAACAAACAGCAAATACTGAAGTGTACGAGCTGTTTAGAGTTCAGAGGGAAGAAATGTCAGATCACCTGCTAGGAAAAAAATTCCTTGGAATATGTCAAATTAATGTGAAAAGGCTACGCAGAAAATTAAATTGCTTCTTCCATGGCTCAGTGGGTGTAAGAGAGAAGAATTCCAGCAGGTGCACGGCTAGAATTTCTGCCTGCAACACAGCCCTGCTGTGCAGACTGTAAGTCTCTTTTTGTAGTATGGTCGGTCCGTCCTGGTCCATGAGTGGAGCTCTTAAGTGCTATGCTATGGCACTAACAACAAGAAGTTTGGCAGAATTAAATTTTTATTTTGTATAATTTTGGGGGATAATGTAGATGTTTATCTCTGAGCCTGTTTTCAAATGTATAGCTATTTAAATTGTCGTTCCCCACAACTGAGACAATCATTATTCACTGACTGTCTCTAGACATTCTCAAGCAGCATTTTTCTTTGCCTCCCTTTACCCTTCAGTGGGGATATTTTGTGTGTGTGGGTGCAATCACAGCCGCCTAGCAGGTGAAGTCAGCAGCACCCACTGGTTACAACCCCAATCCCTCCAAGCCTCCAACTAACCTAGACACACAGCACTGAGTGCTAGGCCCGCATAGACTACAGCCCCCAGCATGCACTGCTCGCCGGGCTCCAAGCGAGGCCTGGTGCGGGAGAGCGCGACTTTCGGGCCCCAGTGCATTCTGGGACGTGTAGCCTTTGCCAAGTATCAGGGGGTAGCGGTGTTAGTCTGTATCTACAAAAACAACAAGGCGTCTGGTGGCACCTTAAAGACGAACAGATTTATTTGGGCATAAGCTTTCGTGGGTAAAAACCTCACTTCTTCAGATGCATAGAATGAAAGTTACAGATGCAGGCATTATATACTGACCCATGGAGAGCAGGGAGTTACTTCGCAAGTGGAGAACCAGTGTTGACACCTACTACAGGACAGGCCCAACAAGGACAATACCAGAACACCACTGGCCATCACATACAGCCCCCAGCTAAAACCTCTCCAGCGCATTATCCACGACCTACAACCTATCCTGGAAAACGATCCCTCGCTCTCACAGACCTTGGGAGGCAGG